CAGAGGGGCCCGCGGAGGGGCCTTAGGCGCGGGGGCCGGGCCCACCCCGGGCCCCTTCCCGTCTCGCTCCCGGTCGCGGCGTCCGCAGGAGCCGCGGGGGTCGGGGAAGCCGCCCTCCCGATCCTTCACCCAAACGCGCTCCCCTGGGGCCCGCGGCGCCGCCCCCACCCCCGGCCGACTCCGGAATGCGGCGTCCCCAGGGACGGTTGACACGTTCGCGAGCCTCTTTCTAAGTTGTGAGGGGACGTGCCCGCGGTCAGCGGAGGCCACTCTTCGGGGGACGCCCGCCTCCTGCCGTCGTGCCCGGCCTCCTTAAGCCCCGGAGCGCGCCGCGGCCCACGGGCTCCCTCGCTCCCTCCTTCCTTCCCCATCTCCCGCGGGGACTGGAGGCCAGTCCACAGGCCTCCGCCTCACTCTAGCCAGCTCCTGTGACAAGAGACCCAGCCTGGCCTTCTCAGATCCACCCCTTCCGGTCCCATTCTGGGGGATTTAGGTGTCCCTGTAGGTCACACAGGCGGAGTCTGCCCGCTCTCCTGGGTGGCCCTGGGGCACTGGCCACCTTCCCTCCGTTCGTTGAGCAGTTACCACTCTGGGTGATCAAGGGGTGATGGCAAGGTCCCTTTCCCAGACAGAGGGGTGGAGGGGGAAGGGGGAAGAGCAGAGATCCAAGGGGACCTCGCCGCGGGCTGCACCGGCCCGCACTGTGTGTTCGAGGGTGGCCTGGGCCTGTACTGTCTCCTTGCCCTCACCACACGCTACTGAGGAAGCAGGCTCAGAGAGGTCAAGTGCTTGCCTGAGGTCACCCAGCCAGTATTCAGTCCCCATATGTTTGGCTCCAAAGCCCTTGCTTTTCCCACTGCTCCAGAAACCCTGGGCCTTGCTGAGCAGCTGCAGCCCAGGACAGGAGTGCGGGGACTTGGAGGTGGGAGCCTCCCTCTCTGTTGCCTGCAGGCAGCAGCCGGAGGGTCTGTGTGAAGCCCCAGCCAGAGCCTGGTGCTCCCCTACTCTGAACCCTCCCTCTGTGATGTCCCTACTCAAAGTAAAATCCACAGCTGCCATGTCCCCCCCACACCTCACCCCTGCCCACCACCGCTCATCACCTACCACTGTCCTCTCCCTGCATGTGGCCCAGTGACACCGATCCTCCTGACCCTGAAACAGACCCCCGCTCATCACCACCCCTTCCACCAACCCTGAGGCCTGGGCACATGCTACTCCCTGCATCTAGAAGCTCTGTCCCAGGTCTTGAAAATGCTCCACCCTTCACTTCCTCCAGGCCTCCGCTCAAATGTCACCTCCTCCTAGGGCCCTCCCTCCCTGACCACCCCTCGTTCCCACCGCATCGATGTCACACTATATAAGTGCTTGTGTGTTTGCTTCATGTCGGCCTCGCTCTGCTGGATGTTCCCAACTGAGGGCGGGGACTTGGCCTTGTTTCCCGCCGTATGCCCAGCACCAGACCAAGACCCAGCCCACAGAGTGTGATCAATTAGTGGACATTGAATGAATGAACGAACAGCAGCCCTGAGTGTAGAATTGAACAGTGTTCATATTCACAACGCTCAAGAATCCATGTCTGGTCCCTCTGAAGGAGGGGCTCTCTCACCTGGAGAAGAAGCAAGTCTCCCAGAGGACAACGGGAGCCCGGCCCCATAGGGGGTGGGAGGGGCGAAGTGGGGGGCTGCGGAATGGGGGTAAGCCCTCCCTTCTTGCCCGTTTCCTCCAACACAAAGTTCTCCTCCATGGACTGCTAGGAGAACTCCTCTTTATCCTGCAAAACCCTTCAGGGCATTGCCCTTTTTCTGAATAGCATTACCCATTATGAGTGGGATTCCCCTGGGCGACCTTGGAGGTTAGCTGGCCCACTCCCAAAGAGGGTTTGGAATGTGGACCAGAGTTGAAGGCGCGGCTGGTACTGAGGTTTTATTCCCTGATCTGCCTGCCATGTTGAAAAGGCTTTGAGACCCCTGCCAGAAGGGAGAGGGGTACCGCGGAGTGCTCTAAGGGGGACAGAAGTCCAGGCCCTGCCCTCAGGGAGTGTGCAGTCCAACGGGATCAGGAGAGTGAAAACTTATCTTGTGGAAGAGGAGACAGTGTAGAGGTGGGGATAGTACCTGTGGGCAGGTCATCTGCCATGTGGGCTCCAGCCTGTGAGTCAGTGTTGGTTCCAGGCCTGCCCGTTGGCATAATCAAAGTAATGGCTAAAAATTGAGCACTTACTATGTGCCAGACAAGGATCCAAGCACTTCATAAGGATTGATAATCCAGAGATGGGTGCCATTATTGTGATCCCCACATTACAGATGAGTAAACTGAGCCCTGAAGAGGCCAAGAGCCTGGCTGAAGGTCACACACCTGGTGAGCGATGGAGCCAGAATTCAAACAACCCCTGAGTGGCACAAGAGATCACCTCCCTTAACCCCACCCGCGTGGATCCAAAATAGAAGGCTGGTTAGAAAGAATCTAGCAAGTTCTCCATAAATATTTTTTGGATGAATGAATTCAATAAATCATGCCTGTCCAGAAATCCCTCTTCCACCTGCCTCAGTGCCTACAATTCTATCGCTAAGAAATGCTACAATTATGCTTCTAGAATCAGCACCACCACCTCCCAGTGTACTTCCCGTCCCCAGGCTCAGTTAACGATTACAACTGCCAGTGCTGCAAGGCAGACATCATCACCCCATTTTACAGAGAAAATTGAGCTAAGAGCAAGCTAGGAACCAGAACCCAGGTCTGACTGCAGAGCCTGCTGCCTTTTGAAAATGCCAGCACTCCTGGGGAGGGTAGCACATGGAACATCATTGTCATTTACACCAGCTGGTAAGGGCATCTCTGAGCTGCTGAGCTAATGGGAAAGGATGGGGAGGAGGATGAAGAAGGGAAGGGGGGGCTGGCCCATGGCTCACTCAGGAGAGTGTGGTGCTGATAACACCAAGGCCGCGGGTTCGGATCCCATATAGGGATGACCGGTTAGCTCACTGGCTGAGCGTGGTGCTGACAACACCAAGTCAAGGGTTAAGATCCCCTTACCGGTCATCTTTAAAAAAAAAAAAAAAAAAACAAAAAAAAAAAAAAAAAAAAAAA